ATCTCTATTTATCCAAACTCATTCGTCAGAATTTGTTAACAGTGTTCTAGATCCAAAACGGAGTAAATTGATCCGAACGAACAGCTCTTCTCCTTTCAGAAACGATACCGTTCCAGGTTTCTGCTTGGCAACGATCCAGTTTTTTGGCGCAGCAAAATGTCTCTGATGTACGCCGTACAAGTCTTTCGTGAGTATATCATTCAAAGATCAAACTTACTGCGTTCATATTGAAATCAGCATGTTCAGAAAGCATTAGACTTTAAACGGAAGGTTTATGCAATATTCCTTTGGGGTTTCGAAGTTGTAACTAACCACCTGGATGTAAAATTTGCGTAGCGCGAATAGCAGCGATTGTTGATCTCTAATATGGTGGAATTTCGGAGGAAAATCGAAGATCCATCTTTTGCCATGTACTAACTTGTCGTTATTGATGATGCTTTTAATGGTAACGCCTTTAACGCTGCACACAAACACACACAAAAAAGTCGATCACGAATTACGACAAGGGATTTCATTGAAAAAAGAACAAAATCTAGGTATAAGCACATGATAATCCGCCCCGAAAGGTTCCAACATGTACAGAAAATCGCGCGAATGCGAATGCACTTCGTGACCGAAGAGCACAAGCGAATTGAACCAGATTTGTATGGAGTACGTGTGAAGTAAAGAGGCTTACATGTACTTTTCGTCGATTGTCGAAAGTTGAACTTCTTTGCAGATAATTTACCTTTCAATAAACGCTGCGGCTTATCGCTGTGCGATGAATTTGGGTACTGTATGCCTTGATCTTCTTACATTTGTGGTGTAAAAGCTAAAGTTATGATATTAATCATGTACAGTTTGTTTCTGGCAAGTCAATACAGTTAGGCAGTAGCTTTAACTTAAACACCATGTTTTGTTGAGGTGTTTTCCCCATTTATTTAAGTGTTCCAAAAAGCCCTGAATATGGTAGTTAACAGACAACGATAAATTGAACTGAAAAAATTAATAACTAATTTTCTCCTGAGTTTATGTTTTGTAAATATTCAAGATAGCCATCTGTAATTCCTATGACATCATTAACAATTATTGTCTCTCGTATCATTTTTTGGTTGTTTATTAAAGCGTTCGTTATGCGTTGTCATGGTATGTCATTTTTTTGCTGCTGTATTGTTTACAATATTATTTTTTTTCTATAGTTCACTTTTCCTACTTTTTTATTCAATTCACGAGCTTCCATGTCTCTTCAAACAAAGCTGTATTTAGCAGTGTTATTTAGGTTCAGTGTTTTCCTGCTAATGTCAAAATTTTAATTAAAAGTCAAAGAGAGATCTTCCATAAAGTTTGGTACTTGTTTGAACACGATTTGGTACATGTTTTGAACATTTTTGATTTCCACAGCAGTTAATGTAGCTGGAAACAGTTTTTCAAGACATCTTTTTGACTGCATTCAAAGCACTTGAAAACCAACTTTCATTCTTCCCAGTTTAATCAATTTCCCTCTGGTGTCGAGCAAACTATTGAAGTTTCAAATAGTGGGCATGGCATGGTAATTACTTATTATGATAATGTTATGGGGAAATCTTGTTGAACGGTATTAGGGAACAATCTTAGAAATTCTTTGATATATTTTCCTAAAACCTCAGGATATTCGTTTTTGGGATAGGACCTCACTGCTGAGTGAATTTAAACAAATTAAATTCTTTCAAAATTTTGATGCCACTAAGTTTACAATTGATTTAGTTGCTAGGACATGATACTGTTTACAAAAGGAGCTCTAAATTGGGCACTATTTAACAGATTTTTTTTTTCGTAGGACAAATTTTCAATATGTCCTTAGCCATTGTGCTCCATTTGAAACTATTTTTTGAGTCAAGGAGAAACTGCAGCACTACAAATTGAGAATATTTCCGACACTAATATTCACTGGATGTTAATTTGAGCTTAAATTTGTTAATCTTTGAAATGCCTGCATTATTTATAAAAACTCTACAAGAAATTCATCTTGTATGCAAAAATTTACATCAGTTTTTCTTGACATTGATTGAGACAATGTACATTTTAAGTGTGGTGAAGATGCTTAAAAGTATTGACCCCTTTCTTATCAGTTTTCTGTTACATTGGTGGTGTGAAGCTGACAGCTGTCTTTTCCTTTTGTACTACAAACAATGCTGTTTTCCCCAATTTGGTTAATTTCACATACAAGAACAAGATGAAACATTATTGCACTATATTCAGTAAAACTTGATTTAGAGCTTTTCCTTTATATTAATAGATTAAATGTTACAAAAAAATTTACTTTTTGTGTCTAAGTAATGATGTAAGTCTTCCTTCCTTTGCAGTCTTCTTCTTCATAGTTCATCATGCTACATGCAATCGTAAGTGATATTTTTATATTGATTGAAAATTATAAAGTTCGTGTATTGGTTACTGTTAAACCAAGTGAAGGGCACCCCTCAAGATTACATTATTGAATTGTTATTTGAAGCTGCTGGTTGTTTCAAGAGTGCAATATTGAATTGATTATTTGAATATTAATAGCTGTATTTGTTTTGAAAAGGCGATCATTGGTAAAATTATCAGAAGTTGATTTTTGATGTGAACAATGATATGCACCTTTTCAAAACCAGTAATTGTCTTTCAGGGTTCAATATTCAAATAATCAATTCATTATTGCACTCTTGAAGTGACTAGCAGGTTCACTATCTAAATATCAATTCATGAATTTAATTTAATCTTGAAGAGTACAATTCACTTGGTTTGACTGTTATTTTATCACAACCAAAGGAAATGATACAATGTAAATATCTTCTTGAATGTAAGATCTTGCTATTGCTGGTATTGAAGTTTGCCTTTTTTTTGCAGCATGTGCCTCTCCACAAGTCATTAGTGGAAGCTCTGGACTTTTTACAAGCTTTAATTTTCCCAATGAGACAGCTGCAGACTCAACTTGTTTCTGGAATATCACAGTACCAGCAGGATTTGTGTTGAAAATAACTTTCCACAGGTTCTCCCTGTCGCCAGCTGACTCGCATACTGACTGTAGGGATGCAGAGGGGGCCCACTTTTTCATCTCAAATGTTGCATCAACTCAACAGTCAAGAGACCCTTTTGAGCTCTGTGGACAGGCTATTCCGAATCCTGTGTACACTTCCACAAACTCCATTCAAGTGAGACTGAAGACAGTAATTCAGCATGGAGTTGTTGGATTTAATGCATCTTATGAGGCTATCACACCTGATGTGTGTAAGTTTTGGTGTATTAGTCTTTTTTTTTTGTCTTTTTAGAAACAATGTATGTTGTGTTAGATGCCTAGCATTTTTCTCTGTTGGGAACTGATTTTGGAATTTTCTGTTCAAGCAGCAGAAAACTATCAAGGAGGGAGACATAATATAATGAATTTGAGTAATCGGTTGAATTACAGCACCCTCCTCTTTCTAGAAACATCGTACTGATTGCTGTTAATCCAGTACGAATGTACACATACACCCAAACATCAGCATGCATATTCTTGGCCATTCTGTTCTGTATACATTTTGTAATATGCTGACAAGGAGAATTTGTCTAAAAATCAGGAGCTGCTTTATTAGGCAATCATTCCTTTCTTCTTGTTAACTTAATGTACTGTATTCCTCAGGAGTGATATTGTAAGGGAAAGCTAGATGCTAGTCACTCTTAGATGTGCACTGTGTAGGGGTTAAGTGAAAAATCTGGGATCCCTCTTAAGTAAATGAAGTGTGCATGCTTGGTTTGTTTAGAGCTACGTGTAATACTAATGTGTTTTTGGTCAATTCTTGTCCCCCAGTGTGCCCGGCGATGGCCAACTTGACTGATGCATCAGGTGTTATTACCTCTCCATTCTATCCCAGATTTTATCCGAATGACCAGAACTGCATTTGGGAAATTATTGCAAGCAATGGAAAGCGTCTCAAGCTTGAAATTGAGAAGACTATGGACATTCCAAATTGTCGCTCATGTAGTTGTGATTATTTGGATATCCAGCATGGTTTTGACAGTACTGGAAATCCAAGTGGAAAAAAATGTGGACCACTCACGACAAATTTAACATATTATTCACTTCAGGATCGCTTCAGGGTGCAGTTCTCCTCAGACAGTAGCTCTGAATTTCAACATAGAGGTTTCAGAGCAGTTTACACTCAACTGGATATCAACCCCAGAAGTAAGTGTCAGGAATGGGCTTACTTGTATCGGGATAGATATCAAGTATCCATTACCTTTAACTTAGTTACTTCTGTCCATCTATGGAATCATAAGTGTGAGATTGATGTTTTCACCTGTTTTTTTCCACTCCTTTTGTATAAAGTACTATAATCCTTGTTACAAATTTTGAATGAAACATTTTTCCTTGTGCCTTGTAAATCTTGATAATTTACCATTTTGACTGTTTTCCTCTTGTGTGTTCTCTCATGGAACTCCTCAATGTTTTCAGATTGTCCCAAAGCTGCAATACCGTTCACGGCTTCAAATGGAAAGTTCAGCAGTCCTGGTTACCCAGGAGTTGTCCCTCCTGGTCTAGATTTGGCTCATAATCAGGCCTGTACCTGGAAAATCACTGTAGCTGCTGGAAAACGTGTCAAGTTGAATTTCACTTCTCTCAATTTTGGTAATTGTTCTACTCCATGCAGCCCCAGTGAAGAGAAGACTCAATGTACACATCTGGACATCTATGATGGTGACTCTAAGAGCTCTTCTAAATTGGGGCGTTTCTGTCCTGGTTCTGCTAAGGAAGTGAAAGTGTCAAGTGGTAATCAAGTGTTTGTGGAGTTTGAATCTGGCTTTGCCAATAATCGTGGCACTGGTTTTGAAGTACAATACTCTGAGACTTTAGATGACCCATCTCCAACAATTGCTACACCAACAACTGCTACACCAACAACTGCTACAACCAGTAATTATCACTTTTACTTGATTTTTATTTTGTATCTCGTACTCCAAATAAGGCCACCATCAGTTCACGATAAAGGTGTCTTGTTATTTACAGTACTGTACTTAGCACTCCAGCATCAATACCTCAATAGATTCATGCACATCAATATGTCACAAAGTGGTAGGAGAGTGAGAAGACCATCATTATGCTCCCCTCTGCAGCGGGGGGGGGGTAATGCTGGAAAAATCAGCTTTGGGAACTCATAATGGTAGCCAATTATCACATTAATTGGTTTAGTAACACCAAATTATCTAGTAATACCTGCCACCAACCCAGCACCACAGCTTTCTTATTCATTCTTAGCATGCAGTTACATCATTCTACATATCCCCTTTATTCCTAAATAATATTATAACATAACCAAAGCAAAGCGCGCGCTCTGATTGGTCAATTTAGCGTCTGCCATTTTCCCATGGGTGTACGCTATCGCCTCGAGCGACTCTTATGCTTCTTTCGTGCTTAGCAGCCTACCGCGTGCATCCATAACTCAATAGTGTACGCTGTGGTGTTTACCATTTGTTAATTAATAACACTTAATAATTTTATTTACTGAGGGTTACACACACCACACTAAAGAACTGGTAAACTTGTGGCCCTCTACTAAGATATAAAACTAATATTTATAAATATTAAAATGCTAAGAGCGGTTAGATAAAATAAATAAAACTAAATTAGCTTGTAACACCTCCCACTGAAGCAGCATCGCAGTTTCTTATTCATTCATAGCATATACTGTAAAGGCTTTCAATATTTCAGTTATACAGTCACAACTTACAATACACTTGAATCAATGTTTTTATCTCTTAAGTACATATCATGACATTAATATTCATAGTTAACATGTGGTCATGCAATCTATTCCCATAATGAATACATACCTAAAAATTTGACACTACACATACAGTCACAGCGTGCTAGTTTTCTGCTTTATTCATAATGTGGATATCCTTGGATATTGATTTAGGACTTTTTATGCATCTGCCAGGTAAATCTACTGGTACTGGTTTTGAAGTACAATACTCAGAGACTACAGATAAACCAACAGAGCCACCTACATATACAACCAGTAATTATGCTTTAACTTGATTTTAATGTTGTTTTTCATAGTCAAAATAAGACAGAGCCTATAATTATGCCCCCCTTCCAATTGATACATTATATAGTATTTGTTAAAGTGTTATTTACCTAGCGAAGTTCATGTGGAATGATACATACATTTTTATGAAAACAGATCCTCAACAATGAACAAAGAACAAATCTTAATCCAGTTAGATAATTTTTTAGCTCAGGCCCCCTGATTTCCTAGTTGAATGCTTTATTGCATGTTACTGGAGCAAAAAGATCTCATGATTCATCAAGGTATGACAGTAAGTTTATGAGAGAGGTCATCTTTTATACCATTCTACAATTTGAACAATGGTATTTAAGGTGAAAACACCACATAATGTTGATAAAGAAGAATGATGTACTGAACTGCATGCTAAGGAAGAATCTGCACTCTTTACAATCCACTTGAGCTGTTATGCTTTGATCTATAGAGAGTTAATTGGTCTTCTTTTTGTATCCCTTTGCAGCAGCTGGAGCCACAAAGACTGGTGCCCTGTTGACTCTCACCATATTTGCACTAGCTGCCTCTCTCTATTAGCTCTGAGGGGACAGTAGTACTTTCAGATCATCGTGTCTTCTGGATCAATGGAAGCTCAGTACCTTTTGAAGGGTTGTCATTAGAAAATGGAACAGAAGCATGATCTGAACTAAGAAGGTGGCTGAATTGATTTACAGTATGCCTGCAAAGCTAGCAGTGCATGTTGCAAAGCCAAATAAATATGCCAATCTGCAAAAATTTTGAAATTTGTAGCTCTCAGAGATGTGATTTCTAGCATTCTGCATTTATATTCTAGTATCTTTTTTTTTTTTTTGCCAGATATTGATATTAGAATCAGTTTAAAAACTACTTATTCATCTGTCTGATCACAATTCACAAGGCAGCTGCTACAGAAAGGTCTGATAACCAGAGGGTTTCTGCCACCTACAGGCATCTAATGACAACCCTGCCTATGTAATCTTCAGATTTCCCTACAATCCCATCATATGTCATAAGTAAAGAGTAGATCCCTGGGCAAGACCCTTAGGAAATCAAAGGGGATGTTACTGGCACTTTCTAGGGATGCTTGTTGAAGAGTTTGGTGGCTCAAATTTGCTCAGCCCCAGGTCTTCACATCAATTCTCATTATCTAATCCCATGCTATTAAATAAAATATTTGTTCCAAGATTTTGGAGGTAAACATAGGATCTCCTTTGATTTCCCACTTTCATTGCATCCTCTGTCCACTTGGTAGTTTAGTGGTAGTATGCAGCAAAAATTAGTTCTAATTTCTTTGGGAGTGATGTTTAAGCACTAAGGTGATGTAAAAGTGCTACTATAATATTTCATTTGTCTAAGCATTTTTTAATTGGTTAGTTAGTCTGGAGATAAATGAAAAGATTTTGGTAGATTTGAAAATGTTTAATTTCTTATGCTGGAATAATTATAATTTTCACCTCAAATGATGTTGCTTTCCATAAATCAAAGAGAGCTTTTGTCACCTCCAGATTTATAGACTATGAGCAATCCCTCCTTTTTGGTGAAGTCCATTGTGCAAGTCAAAATAATATCAGTGAAAAAAAGTTCATTTTAGCGTTCCACTGGAAACTCTTCATGTGACACCGATGTGCTGCAGGAGCTTCATGAGTGAGATGCTCAAAAATTGAAATCTTTGGAAGGTGTCATTTGAATTTTTTCACTTTCATTTTACCCCTCTGATGTCCATCCCATGCTGAGGAGAGGGGGTGATATGTGTGCCAGATTTTGACCAGGAAAGTAATATTGATGGTAATGTAAAAGATATTGATTAAGATTATTATAACAATGTTGATTTTATAACTATGCAATGACTTGATGAGATACTTTGATCAACATTTGGGTTATTGTAGCAGTATGTATTTTATATGATGTTTTTAAATGTTATTGCATTCAAGTACCCTTAAATAACAAGCCTAACAAGTAATAAATTGGAGGGTAACTGCACTGATGATTTGGTGAGGAATTACATTCTTTCAATTGTTTTGGTATTTTTTGATTTTTTTTCGAGGATCAATCGGGGATTGTGGAAGAATTCAGACTTCTTCCATAGCAGTTGCCTTAGCAGTCAGTGAAGAAAATTAGATACAATTGCTGTTTGTGGAGCCTTGTAAATGACCCAGTTTTATTCTTTTGAATTTTTTAGGAATGTAGCGGTACCATTATCCAATACAGGAGTATATCATGTAGAAGATAATTATGATAACCATTCCCTTTTAAGTTTTAAAATTAGTGTGAGCTATATTATGCGGTAGCTGTAGCTTTGGTTTTTCTAGAGGCAGTGTAATGTAAAAGTTAAAGCAAACTTCAAGTTAATTTTATCATGTGATTTGGTACATGAACATGTTTAATTACCACAGCAGTTAATGTAGCTGGAAACAGTTTTTGAAGACATCTTTTTGACTGCAAAGCACTTGAAAACCAACTGTCATTCTTTGCAATAGAACCAATTTCCTTCTTGTGTTGAACAAAAGATTAAAGTTTCAAATAGCAGGCATGGCATGGGGATCGCTATCATTATGGTAATGTTATGGGGAAATTTTAATTTGTTGAACAGTTTTTGGGGACAGTCTCTTGATATATTTTCCTATAGACTCAGGATTTTCTTTTTTGAAATAAGGACTCTGTGAATATAGTTTATATCTGACCACTTGCAGCCCTGAGGCTGAATTACGGGTGCAGTGTAAGGTTGAGAACAGACGTCAGCATATCAGGCGCCTCTGGCAGCCGCTTCAGTCTATCGATCTCACCTTCCCACCCATCCCACCCCAGGGGAGGACATCCATCACACAGTAATCTCGTGTGTGGGAAATTAACGTCTCCTACCCCAACCCTGCAGGAGACGGGACCTCCATTTATTCGTCCCTATCCGAGAAGACTAGAATATCTAACCATTTCTTGATGTTATAGAAAGGTAGCAAATTCTTCTCAATTATTTTAAGACCTTGAGTGTTGGTCCGGCCGGGGCTCGAACCCTCGACCTCCCGCACAACAGTCCAGCGCTCTATCCATTGAGCTAACCGGGAGGCGGTT